TGATGATGGTGGTGATGATGATGATGATGATGATGGTGGTGATGATGATGGTGATGATGATGATGATGATGATGATGATGGTGGTGATGATGATGGTGATGATGGTGATGATGATGATGATGATGATGATGGTGATGGTGATGATGATGATGATGGTGATGATGATGATGATGATGGTGATGATGATGATGATGATGATGATGGTGATGATGATGGTGATGATGATGGTGATGATGGTGATGATGATGATGGTGATGATGGTGATGATGATGATGATGATGATCGTGATGGTGATGATGGTGATGGTGATGATGATGATGATGATGATGATTTTCTGGCTTGATCTCTGGGCCTGGGCCTCTGTTCTTGAGCTTGATGCACACACACACACACACACACACACACACACACGCACACACCAGGTCCCAGTGCCTCACGCCTGTAATCCCGGCTACTCAGGAGACTGAGTCCCGAGGATGGCAATTCAAAGCCAGCCTGGGCAGGAAAACCAATCCACAAGACTGTTATCTCCAACAAACCAGCTGAAAGTCAGAAATGGAGCCCCAGACAACACAGAGAGAAGGGGAGGAGGAAAAGACTAGCAAGAAAAGCAAAATTACAACCCTACAAAACCCAAGGGAAGGCAGCCGCAGTGACAAGGTGAAGAACTCGGAGGCTGGTCTGCTCTGGCGGGAAGACATCCAACTGGAATTCTCTTTTTCATCTTGCAGAAGAGGATTCTTGACGGGCGGGAAACATATGCACTGGGTAAAAAGGTCCAGCCGGTACACTATGAGCACACAAAACACACCGTGGGGCGGCAGGCCGGTGTCCACAGAACACCCATGAAATCCTATGCAACACGCCTCCTGCCGTGCGTCAGGAAAGCGGAGGTGTGTGTGTGTCTGGGTTTAGTGGTGTTGGTGAAAGCAGATGTGTGTGTGTGTGTGTGAGTCTGGGTTTAGTGGTGCTGGTTTAAGCAGACGTGTGTGTGTGTGAGTCTGGGTTTAGTGGTGTTGGTTAAAGCAGAGCTGTGTGAGTCTGGGTTTAGTGGTGCTGGTATTAAATCAGTTCCCTCTCATGCTGGGCTTTGAATTTGCTTTCTTCTGCTTTTTTTCCCCCATGTTGCACAATTGTTTTCTTCTCGGAGCTGCTGTCATGGCCGTTTATTGAGCAACTGTGGAGGGAAGAACAGAAAGTTTGGGGGAGGGAAGATTCCTTGCTTTTCTTTGTGCGTATGTGCTTGTATTGGGGTTTGAAGGTCTTGAACTATAGCTTGGCATTATTATTATTATTACCAATGCCAGTCCTGGGGCTTGAACTCAGGGCCTGGGCGCTGTCCTTGAGCTTCTTTTATTCAAGGCTGGTGCTCTAACTACTTGCGCCACAGCACCACATCTAGTTTTCTTGGTGGTTCATGGGAGATCAGAGTCTCAGGGACTTTCCTGCCCCGGCTGGCTTTGAACTGTGATCCTCAGATCTCAGCCTCCTGCGTCGCTGGGATGACAGGTGTGAGTGCGGGCGCCTGGTGAACCACCTCCCGTTAGACCTGGGCAGATCTGAAGGCACTGTGGCGTTAGCCCCCCTCCCCCCTTCTTCTGCCAGCCCCCCTCGCTCTCTCTTACATCCTCAGGAAAGACGGCCGCGCCGACTCCTTGGAGATGCGTTGCTGTGACCTTGGGCGTCCTCTTCGGGGTCATTCTGGTCGTAGCGGTGGTCCTCGGCATCCTGGGTGAGTATTGGGGAGGTGGAGGAATGATGGCTGAGCCATTTGATGAGCATTTACGACGTGACCGGCCTCCCCGAAGGGCTCAGCACACATGAGTGTTTTCGTGGTGGTCGTTGTTGGTCGGGCGCTGTCCCCGAGCTCCACCTTGGTGCTCTACCACATTGAGCCACAGCTCCACTTCTGGCTTTCTGGTGGTTCATGGGAGATCAGAGGCTCATGGACTTTCCTGCCCAGGCTGGCATCCATCCATCCATCCATCCATCCATCATCTGTTCACCCATCCATCATCTGTCCATCCATCCACCCACCCATCTATCATCCACACATCCACCCATCCATCCACACATTCATCCATCCATTCTCTCATCCATCCATCCATTCACCCATCCATCCATCATCTATCCATCCATCTGTCATCTGCCCATCCATCCTTCATCTGTCCATTTATGACATCTATCCTGTTATCTATCTTAATCTGTCATCTCTCTCTCTCTTTACTGTCACCTAATACTTTGTGTTTCCATCTATTTGTGTATCATCTATTTGTCATTAGTCAAAGATGAATCATCATCATCATCATCATCGTCTGCTGGTGACAGGCCTTGAGTTCAGGTCTTCCCTCGCTCGGCTCGCTGGCTCCAGGCTGGCCCTTCCCCGCTTGGGCCATGCCGCCAGCCTGAGTCAGCAATCGCTAGATTCCAATAAAATCTGGGTCTGGGGCAGGCAGCGTCAGGCGCAGCCGAGCGCTGCCGTCGCTGGTTTTCTGTTCATCACTGCGCGTTCTGTGTGCAGTGTTGCAGAGACGGAGTTCAGGGAGCGGCGCGGCGGGCCGCCATGCCTGGCCACCGAGCCATGAGCCCAGCACCGAGGCTGCGGGGGAAGCCGGCGCGGCCCCCACCCGGGCGGCCATTCCCACAGGCAAGGGCCACGGCTCCTCTCCCACCCTTCCCCTCCTTTCCTTTTGGTGCTGGTCCCAGACAGGACCTGGGCGCCGTCCCTCAGCTCTTCAGCTCAAGGCAGGCGCTCTACCCCTTGAGCCACAGCGCCACTTCTGGTTTTCTGGTGGTTTATTGGAGATCAGAGTCTCATGGACTTTCCTGTCCAGGCTGGCTTTGAACCGCGATCCTCAGATCTCAGCCTCCCGAGTCACTGGGATGGCAGGCGTGAGCCACCCCGTGTCCAGCTTATTTTTCCATTTAAAATAGAGAAAGGGAGCGCCAGAAGGCCAGGGACGTGATGGCTGTCTGCCTAGAACGTAGTAGTTGCTCCACGAATTCAACCTTTGGAATGAATGAGGCAGGCGAGGGGGCGGTGGGCCTGGATCCCCTCCGCCGCTCGGGAGGCTGCGATGTGAGGATCACGGTTCTCAGCTGGCCAGGCCGGGGAAGTCCGCCAGACTCTGATTTCCACCAAAAAGCCGGACGTGGTGCCGTGGCTCAAGCGGAGGAACGCCACCCTTGAGTTCAAAAGCTCAGGGAGAGTGATGACCAGGCCCTGCGTGCAAGGCCCAGGACCGGTGTGTATACACGCACATGCACACACGCACACACACACGATGCTCCCAGATCCCCCCTCTCCATCTTCCATGACACACGGAAGCCCGGCGGCTCCCGATGTGCTCACGTGGGGAGGGGAAGAGGGTGGACAGGTCCCCGACGAACTCGACAGCCCGAGCTTTCCCTCCCAGGCCTCCCCTCCCAGCCCTGTCCCCGCAGCTGGTCCAGACACGGCGCCAGCTGCTACCGGTTGGTTTGGTCCCTGGATTCCTGGAACGGAAGCCGGAGACGCTGCTCCCGGCTAGACTCCGCGCTCCTGGCCATCGAGAGCCCGGAAGAGTTTGTAAGTGCAGCCGTTCACCCCGGCCCTGGGACCCGCCACCCTGTCCTCTGCCTGTCACCCCGGCTGCTCAGGAGGCCGAGATCAGAGGATCACCGTTGGAGGCCAGCCCGGGCAGGAAAGCCCCTGAGACTCTGATCTCCAGTGAGCCACCAGCAAACATGGAAACGCAGCGTGGCTCAAGGGGTAGAGCACCAGCTGCTGTAAGAGGCGCTCAGGGACAGTGCTCAGGCCCTGAGTTCAAATCCCAAGACAGCAACAATACATATATATCTATATATTTTTTTTCTCTAAGGGAAAGTAACTTTCAGTGTTCTCCGAAATAGCTACACTCGCGTGTGATACGCGTGTAACTCACACAGCACGCTCTCTACGTTATTTAGAATGTCATCACACGTCACTTGAAAATACATTTTTTCAAATGCGTTTCATATTCATCTGACTCCATGAAACCAAAGCTGATTTTTTTGTAGCGTGTGTGCGTGTGCGTGCATGTGTGTGCACGCACACGCGTGTGCATGGTTGTTTTGACTCAAGGCCTTGAGTTCTTGTTCGGCTTTTTCCACTCAAGACCGGTGTTCTACCCCCTGAGCCACAGCTGCCATTTCTGTTGGGTTTGATTTCGTTTTCTGGTGATTCATTGGAGATCAGAGTCTCACGGACTTTCCTGCCCGGGCTGGCTTTGAACCGCCATCCTCAAATCTCAGCCTCCTGGGCAGCTGGATTGCAGGCCTGAGCCTCCGGCGCCCGGCCAGTATTTTTCCCCATGTCCCGGGCACGCTAGTGTCTGGAAGGTGGCCTGACCTTGCCTTGATTTCCTTTGCAGGATTTTGTAAGAAGCCAAACATCTCTCCATCCTGCCAACGCCTTCTGGCTGGGCCTTTCCCGGCGCGGCGCCCAGGGGCCGTGGCTCTGGGAAGATGGGTCTGCACTCTCTCCTGACATGTAAGATGACACACGCATGGCTCCATCACCTTCCTCCGACAGAGGAGAAGGGCCCCGCCACGGAGAGCTGAATCACCGGCCACCTGGGAGGACAGAAAGTGTGGCGATGGGGAACCCCCAAAAACAGAGACCTCTGAAAGGGTAGAGGCCGGCCACGGGGGCTCCCGCTGGCCATCCCAGCCGCTCAGGAGGCTGAGATCTGAGGCTCGTGGTTGGAGGCCAGGCTGGGTAGGAAAGTCCCTGAGACTCTGATCTCCAATGAACCAGCAAAAGGCTGGAAGTGGAGTTGTGGCTCAAGTGGTAGAGCGCCAGCCTTGACTAACAAATGAAGGCGCCAAGCCCTGAGTTCAAGCCAGTACACACACACACACATTAGTGCAAGTATACTTTGTGTGGAGCAATGTAAAGGACAAAGAAGCCATGTTTTTTGGTAGAATATACACAGTGGGGTGTTTAAAAGGTTAATTTTCTTCTTTAATTATGGAGATAATTATATTCCCACTTGATCACTGACGTCATCTTTCTTAGTGTGTGTGTCAGTCCCAGGGCTGGACCTCGGGGCCTGGGCGCTGTCCCTCAGCTCTTCAGCTCAAGGCTGGTGCTCTACCACTTGAGCCACAGCGCCACTTCCGGCTTTTTGATGGCTCACAGGAGCTCAGCGTCTCGGGGACGTTCCTGCCCGGGCTGGCTTTGAACCAGGATCCTCGGATCTCAGCCTCCTGAGTGGCTGGGAGGGCAGGCGGGAGGCTCCGGCCCTGGGCTCACCCCACGGCGTTTTATGTCAACAGATTTCCTGTCAGAAGCGCAGCCACTCAGGAGGGGGCCCCGGACTCCTGTGCCTGGATCCACGGGTCGGACATTTACGCTCAGTTGTGTCACACGCCCGCATTTAGTATCTGCAAGAGGTTGTCTGTGTAAGAGGCCAGAGGAGATGAAGACGCGCGATTGTAAAAATGGCTCAAAACACAAAATAAAACGGATTTCTGAGGCTGCGAACACGAAGCTGGCATGTGTGTGGGTGCGTGTTGGCTGGCCCGGGGGGGCCTTGGACTCGGTCCCTCAGCTCTTCCCACTCAAGGCTGGCGCTCTACCCCTTGAGCCACAGCTCCACTTCCGGCTTTGCGGTGGTTCCTGGGAGATCAGAGGCTCAGGGACGTTCCTGCCCAGCGCTGGCTTTGAACCGCGATCCTCAGATCTCAGCCTCCTGAGGAGCTGGGTGAGAGGCGTGAAAACTTCCTGCAGAGGTTTTCCTTGGGGGTGGAAGAAGGTGGCTTCTTTTGGGCCAACTCAGACCAGACACGCACACGCACACACACGCACATGCACACACACACACACACACACACACGCTCACACACATGCTCACATGCTGTGTCTCCACCAATTTGGCCATTAGACAGGCCCAGCCCCTCCCAGCAGGAAATGCAGTCAGAGTTTTCCCAGGCGGGCTGGGAGTGCCTGCCTTCTAGCACTTTCCACCAGGAGCTGCTCCTCGCTGCTTGGGGCTGGCTTTGCCCCCGGCAGCCGCAGAGCTCCGTGGCCGGCCGTCAGGATGCAGGCCAAGTGCAGCAGCACCGAGGGCTTCTGGGAGGACGAATGGGACACCAGCGCCAGCCTGGCCTCCCAGACTTTCACCTTCGCCGGCCAGCCCCAGCCCAAGCCTGCAGGTACTAATGTCTGGAGCCGGTGAGCTAGGACTCCGGAGAGGTGTGTGAGATGAGGTCTCTGCCCGGGGCCAAGGCAACTTCTGGGGAAAGACAGGGAAACGTGGGTGCTGGGGTTGTTTTTCTCCAAGATCTGACTGTGGTTTTCTTGGCAATGGGTGTGTCGGGGAGGAAGTGGCCGAGGTGGGCTTCCTGCCAGCTAAGTCCTGGCCCACGTGGAGTCTGGGGTTGCCTCTCTGTACATTTCTTTCTCTTTTCCCCGCTGCGATTCGGACTCGGGGATTGGATTGGGGAAGACGTCCTTTCTTGGGGGAGGCTGTGTTTGAACTTGGGTCTCCACCAAGGACCATTTCTCTGTGGATTAGTGAGTGATGGTTGTCATCACGCTCTGTATCGGCGGGCGCCCGACGATCACGCCTACAATCACAGCCACTCACGGGTCTGCGGTCCGGAGGATCGCGGTTCACCGGGAGCCCCAGGCGGGAAAGTCTCTGAGACGTAACCAGCGAAATGCTGGCCTGGAGGTGTGGCTCAAGGGGTAGAGCACCCACCCTGAGTGAGAATGCAGAGTCGGAGCCTGAGGCTCCGAGTTCAAGACCCGGTACCCACCGGCGAGCACGCCCACCACGAAATCCTGTGGGCTGGGCTGTGTCACGGCTCTGAACCCCCGAGGGGTCTTGGGATGTCACGTCAGCGGCAAATGTGCAGTTGGAGATGGCGGAAGGCAGGTCCTTCTCCCCGATCCTCCGCCAGCTCTGAAACCTGCGCTTCCTTCAATCCCGTCCTGCGGGTGGCTCCACGGAGCTCGGATGACTCGATGGATGGGGTCTCTGACTACTACGGGGACAATGGAATCGTGGGAAGGAGAGGCTGGCTGGCCCCAGACCCGTCTTCTTAGCTGTCCGTGTACAGAGACTCGCTTTCCCTTCTTCTGCCCCTTGGTAGGATTTCCATGCCCGGGGAGCTGCGGTTCTCTCCGGGGATTACAGCTGTGTGTGTGTGTGTATGTGTGTGTGGGGGTCATCACACACTGATACAGGTGGGGTCAGGTTCCAGATTCCAGTCCCAGGCAGGGCCCTGGGCACCAGGGATTGTGGACAAGTTAACACAGGGTGCTTCAGGCTCAGTTCAGATGGGACTAAGTTCCAGATTCCAGTACCAGGCAGGCTACTTAGCACCTGGGATCTTGGATGAGTTAACACAATGTGTTTGAGGCTAGGTTTGAGATTCAAGTACCTTGGCACCTGGGATCGTGGACCAGTTAACACAGGGTGCTTAGGGCTCAGTACAGACGAGACTGGGTTCTAGACTCAAGTATCAGGCATGGACACTTACCACTTGGGATTGTGGACAGGTAAACACTCTATGCTCAGGGCTCAGTACAGATGGGACTAAGTTCTAGATTCAAGGACCAGGCAGGGCACTTGGCACCTGGGATCTTGGACAAGTTAACACCTTGTGCTTGGGGCTGCGGGTCCCCACTGACAGCATGCTGGTGACAGCGGACGTTGTTTAGTACTGTTGACTAAAACTCACTGAGGGAGAGGAGCCGGAGCTCTCTGTCAGGAGCACTGAGCACAAAGACCCAGGAACCACAGGAGACCCAGCCCCGGTTCACCCACTTCCCGGGGATCCCGAGCGTCCCCTGGTGGTTGCTTGGTTGTTCTGTTTTGCCGTGGGCTGGTGCAGAGGCTTGAACTCAGGCCTCCAGGCCTTGACTCGGCTTTTTCTGCTCAAGGCTGGTGCTCTACCGCTTGAGCCACAGCGCCACTTGCGGTTTTCTGGTGGTTCACTGGAGATCAGAGTCTCATGAAGTTTTCCTGCTGGGGCTGGCTTTGAACCACGATCTTCTCAGATCTCAGACTCCTGAGTAGCTGGGATGACAGGCGTGACCCACCAGCCTTGTAAGAATATTTCAGCTTCTGAAAGAAGAGAGAGCTTCTGTCTGTGCGATTCTTGTCTCCAGGGAAGCAGCAGGGCAGAGCATCCGGCTCGAGGGAAGAAGTCAGGCAGGGGCTGGAGTTCCAGCTCCGGTAAAACAAAGAAAGCACCACACGTGCGTGAGCACACACACGCGCACACACACACGCGCACATGCACACACACATGTGCGTGTGCACACACACACACACAGCACGTGAGTGCCGGAGGCTGAGATCTGAGGATCCGGGTTCCAATCCAGCCGCGGCAAGGAAAGTCCGTGAGACTCTGATCTCCAATGGACCACCAGAAAACCGCAAGTGGCGCCGTGGTTCAGGTGGTAGAGCACCCGCCTTGAGCAAAAGGAGCTCAGAGACAGCGCTCAAGCCCCAAGTTCAGGCCTCAGGCTGGTACAGAAAAAAGGGGGGAAAAATAGAAATGCTTGAATATAATACAACATATAATATAATGCTTGAAACAAAATAAATGTAAGTAATAATATTTATAATATATAAATTATATATAATTAAAATTATGTATAAATGCACATTGCCAAATACGTATAGGTAGATAGATAGATAGATACATAGATAGATAGATAGATAGATAGATAGATAGATAGATATTTTCTGTCTGTGTATGTTTGTTTGTTGTTTTGTTTTTGGGTCCGGTCGTGGAGCCTGAACTCTGGGCCTGGGCGCTGTCCCTCAGCTCTTCAGCTCAAGGCTAGCGCTCTACCACTTGAGCTACAGCGCCACTTCCAGCTTTTTTCCTTTTGTTTATGTGGTGCTGAGGAATCGAACCCAGGGCCTCAGGCATGCAAGGCAAGCGCTCTACCACTGAGCCACCTGCCCAGCCCTGTCTGTGTATATATGCATGTATTTTTCCTATATATTTGCACACACCTATTTGGTAGTGCGCATCTATTTTCCTGTAGGCCTTAGATTTGAATCCTTGTTGCTGCGCAGTGAGGACAATGGGCATTTCCGCCTGCACTTCCTCTAAGAACAAAGGGGCTTCTGTTCAGAACACGGCCCTGGCCCTGCAACCTCTCCTCCCGCAGCCCTAGGAAGAGGAGTCGGGAAAGTGGCGTGGCTTCCCACGGACATCTCTGGTGATTCCCGGGTGTTTATAGCAGCCCGGCCCCAGCCTCTCTACCAACGACACAGCCCCGGCCGGGCCTCACGCTGCAACCCGGGAAAGCCCAGCCAAGTCTGACCCTGCACCCGCTGAAGACTGAGACACCCCCTGCCCTCTGCCCCCCTCCCCGAGTCTCTGGGATGACAGGCAGGAGCCACCACCCAGCCCAGGCAGCAAAGTCCCCGAGACTCTGATCTCCAAGGAAACCCCCAGAAAACCAGACATGGAGCTGTGGTTCAAGCGGTAGAGCGCCAGCCTTGAGTGCAAAGCTGAAGCGAGAAGATGAAGGTCTGAGTTCAATGCCCAGTGCTGGCACAGACAGACAGACAGACAGATACTTCAGGGCACAGCAGGACTGGGGAGATGTTGGTGAGAGGCTTTGTGGAGCAGTCTGCACCAGGTCGTAACAGAACCTCGTGATCCAATTAAGACGATGAGTCAGGCACCGGCGCTCACGCCTGTCATCCCAGCTACGCGGGAGGCTGAGCCCCGAGGATTGTGGTTCGAGGCCAGCCTGGATAGTAAAGTTTGTGAGACTCTTCGTTCCAATGGAAGCCAGAAGTGGCGCTGTGGCTCAAGCGGCAGAGCCCTGGCCTTGAGGAAGAAAAGCTCAGGGACAGCGCCCAGGCCCTGAGTTCAAATCCCGACACTGACACACACACACACACACACACAGAGAAAGAAAATGAGTGTGTATTATCGCCCCTGGGTTACTTTAGTTCCACATGAACTCTTTCCTGTCTAGAGCGAGTTCTCCCAGGGGTAGGGGGGGGCTGGTTTATATACAAGGAGGAGGACGATGGACCCCCCCCC